AGATACGTCAAGCTTATATAACTACACACGGTAATCCTTGATATGGTAGATTCGGAGTAGATAGAGCAGAAGCTCAATACTATACTGAGGCTGAGGCTCCCCAGCTCGATTTATACAAATTTTGGCTCGTACTATATCATAACCGAAGACGTACCCAGTCTAGTGGAAACCTCTGAACCTAGTCAGGTTAATGGTGAGGTAAGGAGCTCTGGTAAAGAAGATTAGGTAAAATAACAATAGCAAAAGTCAGTGGTCCCTATTCCGTTCCTGAGCGAGCGTTGCTGCGTGGATGTACGTAACAGATGAATTTATTGGCAACTATGTATGCGTTGAGAAAACAGCCAAAAAGCAGCCCCTTTGACATCCTGTTCAAGAGCACTAAGGAGGATGACCTCATCCAAGTCACGTAAGAAAGATTGAACAGTACAGGTTCCGAGCTGGTGAACCAAATCCTCTTCGGTCAAAACTCCAATCCGTTTGAAGCTCACCACAGTTACTGAAATCTTGTGGATTTACAGTTTCACAAAGAAATTATTTCAATTCACATGAATGTGAAGTAACGAGGAGCTAACACTTTCGTTAGTTGAATCGCCACATATGCTTTCAGTGGGCAAGTCTCCTTCTGTGATCAATCTTTCCCATTCAATGTAACTTCAATGAAAGTTACAAACTATTCCCCGAGTTGACATCATTAGTTGGTGTTTTATGTTAGACTACAGGTTTCGATACCGGTTATAACGAATTTTGTAAAGTTTTAGATCAGTATCTACAATTTCATGATGTTTAAAGTTCATGATCAGAAGAATCAAAAAGGGTTGGGCGGTAAAAGTAAAAACGATGATTCATTGAACGAATAAAGGAACGGTTTCAACTACAAAAGTGCATGACTCTACAGTATGCCTACTCCCGCTGATAATTTACTCAGAACAGGAAAAGTGATCATTATCAATATCCAGGAACAGTCATTTTTTCCAAACGCCTTGTAAAGTTGTGATGAGGANATCTACAATTTCATGATGTTTAAAGTTCATGATCAGAAGAATCAAAAAGGGTTGGACGGTAAAAGTAAAAACGATGATTCATTGAACGAGTAAAGGAACGGTTTAAACTACAAAAGTGCATGGCTCTACAGTATGCCTACTCCCGCTGATTATTTATTCAGAACAGGAAAAGTGATCATTATCAATATCCAGGAACAGTCATTTTTTCCAAACGCCTTGTAAAGTTGTGATGAGGACAAGAAAAAAGGTCTGGTACGGATTCAGATTTCTACCGTAATACTACGGTTACTTTATAGACTAGCAACTGATGTACTGTCAATTTTTAATTTTTTTAGTCAGGAACTTTTTCAGTATAGCGTTATTCGAGAATAAACAAGTTGTTCTACTGTGAGATTCACCCACGAGGACGACCTCGTTGTGGACGAACGATTGACTTTGATGATGAATGAATAGAGCCACTTGCAAAACAAAGAAGAAAAAATCTAGAAAAGAAAAACTAAAAAACTAATTAGAAAGAATGCGTAGAAGTTGATTTCATTCCAACGTTGCGTTATATTTCATTGAACCGAAATGAAGAACATTTCATCGATTCATTGAAATTAGCACAGAGAGGAAAAACAAAACTGAGGTTGCTGCAGAATAAATCATATCAATCTTGAGTAACGTAAATGATCGTACCACAACATTTAACGACTTGGGAAAACCTAATTCGAAAATGAATTTGATCCAATTTCAAATATATAAAATAGAGAACGCCTGATTTAGTGGGTTGACATCATCTAGTAAAATGACACGTTTTACTCGAGACGGCATGACTGTTTTCAAAACAAAACCATCCTAGACAATTGTTTGGACCATTACAGAAAATTCCATAGCACAGTAAAAGTAGGAACTCTGATTCGACGATAGGCTTGTGATTTATATTTGACGTAGATCAGAGAGACGGGACTAGTGTCGTACCAATAGACGTGCCACCACACTCACGGTCTCAGGTTTGAGTCTACTGTCGATTCTCGTCGAGACCAACCAAGCCTTCCATCCCTCCGGGTCGTTTAGTCACTGGACGCGTCTGGGAGGTTGAAAGACTTACTTGTACATGGCCTGGTCATCACAAGTGACTGTATGGGTCACACGCACGATTCGAAACACCACTGCGATTTTGAGGGGACGTTGCATGCGGAGGAGCAACCCAAGAGAGAACTGAAGAACGCCAAGAGATCTTCATTCTCATCAATTATGCACTGTGTTCTTGCAGCAATTGCGCCTCTCTTCTAAATGTTCCCAATTTTCTCTAACACGCACATTTAATATAGTAATTTATGATACTGACGTCCTGAATTCTTCCCCTGCCAGCTAGTCAGTAATGTCGCTTTTGTAGGAAAGAACCCTCAGGTCCATCCCGGGCTGCACACATGGCTAGACTACTTGGTAGCCTGCTATTGAGTCTGCAGCCTCTGTGTAAAACAGCGAACATTTAGGAGAGCCATCTTGAAGAAAACGTGCAGTTGGATGAAAATTGTAGGGAGGGAGAGAAGAGAAATCAGTAATTTGCACTTTCGCGTTTTCAGAAAGGGAACCTGTCCAATCGGATAATGTCCTGAACCAAGTGAATACATTGCCTTCAGACGTATCTCAACGTTTTTTCCCCTCTCGGCATAAAAGTCATAGATTAGCTCATTTCCATCGAAAGGCGAATTTGAAGAGATTCATTAAACTCGAGACTAACGTTTTTTTCAGTTTGCCACGTCTGTCACAAGACATGCCCTTTGTGATTTCTCGTTTCTCAGATGCGGTTTTCTTCAAGGAATTGCAGTTCATTACGGTAAGCAAAAGAGAATCATGATAGGTTGTCCGATGACAAAATGCTTTTTGTAATGTCTTATCGTCAAACAATGTGAATACCAGTTTGGGACTTGAAAAAAACGTTTCTTTCGCCAACACGACGAATTCCTGTGCCTATGACCGCGTATAAGTATTACCTTTTGTTCGGCCATCAACGATCTATCACAATGTCAACTCCATTCATTTTTCTTTCTCAGTCGAGGCGTTCGTACGCTTGTTCACTTTGCTCAAACCCTTTGGTGTCAACGGTTGCTTATGTTACCCTTAGTGGTTATTCAGTTTTCTGGTAATTCATATGAATGATTTTTGATTATTGGCGTAACCCAGTGCTCGCATTTGTTCGGAAAGTTTTCTCCATTGCTCATTTACCAGAAAAATATGTGCCTTTGAAATTGAACACTGTGAAGACAAGATTTGACTGGAATTTCTCAACAAAATTCGAGTCAGTTTTCTGGGTGATCTGCCCAACCCCAAGTATTCTCAAGCAATTGAAAAGGACAAGAAATACACTACTTTCGCCTTTCATCGGTAAGCAACCGACCCAGAAGCAGGAGTTGATAGAATGGGGCAGTACGGTAAGCGAGTTAGAGAGATCCTGAGCTTAATACTGACATCTGCTTAGCTGACTTGCATTTATGCTATTACTAACCAGCCACTACTTTGGTCCTGTCAGGGAAATCCAAGTGACCGTCGTGTTACTGTACAATATGCATGGTGTAGATATAAACGGTCTCCTCTCTATGTCTTTCACTACATTCAATATTCCTGGCACAGAAACCTTGATTATAGGCATCATACCGTACTACTCTATAGTCTTTTACTATACAAATAACTGCAGCATTAGCGTGAACATCTCTAATTTTGACAGCTAAAAAACTTGTTTGCTTAATTTCTGCGTCGAAGGAACATTACAGTTCTGGGTAAGTGGTACTATACGGGTGTGGTGCAGTAGGAACGGAATTGTCGCTCGCGGCGACAGAAACGTCGCGCGCGGAGGAGTGTAGCAGAATGCAGCAGTAATTAAGAAATACAGGAACAAAAGAACTAACAGTAGAATCATGTCAAAAGTAATAGTCGCATGGCAATTGAGCTCCATGAAAAACGCGCAAGAAACTTATAATGAGGCAGATGGTCCGTGACAGCCGCGTGCGACGGATGGATTGCACAAAACCGTTCCTACTGCCCGTCTCCCTGTACTATATTACTGTACTGTACTACGCCATAAGTGAAGACTGCCAGAGGTAGCTCCCTTTTTTCTGATACTTCTCTATCTGATCACTTTTTCTCAACAAAATTCCACCAGCTTTCACTCCTCTGGGGTAGCTTGGTTAGTACCAGACTTGTCTGGAAAGATAGAGCACTGACTTGTACATCGGCTGGCCACCGGAATTCGCCTTATCGGCCCCACGTATTCAATGCATTCATTCAACGCATTACGATTCTGAATAGAAATCCTCAGATAGGATTAGACAACGCCAGAAGACTTCAGCCATTATCCTCCATGTAATTTATCAGATTCATGGTGATCCCTACAAAGCTCAGATAACCACAGCCTCCTCAATTTTCCTTAGACCTATCCAAAGCGTGAATAAATTCCATTCCCAAGTCTCCCGACTTTCGGAGAGAAATGAAAAAGCACTCCAGAATATGCTTAAAAAATAGGGAGATCATAGCTTTTAGGCGTCTTAATCTCTTCCCGTCATCAATCACTGATGATTAATAGCAATAATAGTGGTGTCACTGCTCCAGAACACCAACACCATCGTAATAGTGGTGCCATTTTGGTTATACGTTCCCCAGAGCTGGCATTCACTACAGGAACGTACAACTTGGTGGAGCAGAACGTGGGTTACTTGCGAGATTCAAATTCGTAAATTTCTGTGCCCTCCAACATTTTCCAAGCAAATGTTCAGCCGTCGTACGACGTGAGTTTCAGAATGAGCAGTACCCATCGATTCATTCAGCACATTAACCGGTAGTTTTGCAGTGAACCGAGGCCTACAGTATACAAGCTCATTCCAATTCCTCCTAGAACTTACCCTCTGCCTCCTCCTCTCAGCCAAATATCAGAGGAATTTCGTCAGATTGCCCTAGAAACTTCTCTCCATGTTGGAAATTTGGTATATGGGATAGAAATGTAATGCTTCAGTTGCAGGGATGCTGCGGGTGCTCCTGATATCGGCTTTCATCCTCGCCGTCTGCAATGGCCAGATGATCAAGCAGTGTACATGCGAACAGTTGGCACCTTGCTTGAACGTCAATGCCGACACATTCTTCAAGTGTGGTCAACAATGCCAGGTAACCTACGATTGAAATAGAATGGACCCTTTATCTATTGACTGGGCAACATCGTTTATGAGTAGGAGCAGCAAGGAGCAAGTCTTTTTTTACGAATAGAATTTCTGGATTTGAATAAGTTATATAATTTGCATACCGAACGAATTAACCTAGAAATGATAGCAGAAAATGCAATCTCAACGACTGTCGCTTGTTTTTGTAACTAGACATCCATGTTCTTTTTAATAGACCTATGGGGTTGAATCTACTTTTGGTGAGTATTGGGGCACAAAAGCGACGGGATAGCGCCAAAGGACGCGATACCTCACTTTTGACCAGGGGATCGAATTCCGACTCGATCTTCGCATAGACCAACTGAGTCTACTATCCCTTCGAAGTCAGTCATTAGATAAGGGACCCGATGGGAAAATAAACGCACCACTTAGTACACAAGTTGCCAACCGGAAGCCTTTGTATTACTCAAAAAAGCATTTCAATACCACCACGACTTCAAGTGGAAGTCGAATGCGTGGGCGCATTCCAGCAGATTGGTCAACATCAGAAGGGTTCTTTCTTTTCTGGTTGGCAATCAAACGTCGTTCACAGATGGAATATATCAAAATTCAGTGATAAAAAGCGTTTAATAACATCAATCAACTTTCTTACTCATCTTTGCAACTTCAGCGACGCACCGATTCACTGGATTGATTAATAACACTGATCCACTCGGTTGATATCGCACTCGTACAACCACCCTGCCCCCTCCCCCTCTTCCCCACCCCTCCTACTCCCAATATCCCTAGCCCCTGTCCTCGACCTGAAACAAACTTCCCACGACTGAATTCAATCAAGAAATTCTCGGTACTGAATAAAAGCATGAGCTTTCGAAAGAGCAGAAACTCGCAGTGATAGCATTTAGGAGAACGGTTAGAATGTACATGAAATCAATTTTCGCACTGCTCATCTGGTCAAAGCCAAATTGGACGAAAAGGGTCTTTCCAAGAAGGGTCTTTTCATGGATTACATTCTTGTAAAGTAGCAAACTGCTTTCGAGCTTTTTTCCAAACTGACTTGCCATAAAAATAAGTGCAAGTAGTAAATTAAAATGTTTGGAGAGCCATTTTGCAGAACCTCTTGAAAAAGATTTCCCCCTTTATCACAGAAAAACAGAACATCATTTCCCTTTCTGAAACAGTGGAACTTTCGATAAAGGACAATTTTACCTATGTCGAGGAAATCTTCCAGGGAATTAAATTGAACTATGATGCTGAACAGAATACAGCGAACACATCACCGATTAGCATTAGCGATTCCTTTTCAGGCAGTGTAATAGAGAGAAAAGTGAAAATGATCAGTAGAAAAAAGTGAAATCGTCAAAGCGAAACCGCTACGGAGAACAGTGGTCTATCGAGAAGTTGCTAAACAAATGGAAAATCGTTGAACAGAAGGGAACTGGCCGAAGACGAACGCTGTGAAGTGCCCTTTTCCGACCTCATGACACTGTAGAGCAAAAGTCAAAGCCGGTCAAAAAAAGTACCTGGTACTCACTCTTTTGTGAAAAAATAAGCATAAAACCAATTCAACCAACCAAATCAATTCGTACAGCGGCATTAATGGGTTTGTTGGAGTACCTGTAAGTCGCATAAATATCATGGAAGAAGGCAGAGTATTCCCCTGTACCACATGCAACCTCTGCGGGGCTTTTGTTGGTTGGAGTAGGAACCGTAAAAAACGGACAATCAAATCAATTCTACCAATCTAGTTGAAAAGCATTTTAGCCCAGTTATTCTTGTCTTGTGTGTGACAGAAGTTTCCTTCCTCTTCCTGTGTAAAAGTCCGAGCTCCTAGGGTCCTTGATCCCCTGAGAGTCGTTCATGCGTCACTTCGGTTTTGAAGATCGTAAACGTTACACTCTTTCTGCTGTACCTAGAGGCTGCTTTCATAGTCCGCGATTTGGCCCGCGAGCGAGGGAGCGAGCGACGGAGGACTACTCGTTCTGCGGTATCGACTAAAACTCAAATGTAAACAAGGGGTAGGCGCCGCCCCCGTCGCTCGCTCGATCACTCGCGGGCCAAATCGCGGACTATGAAAGCAGCCAGAGCATTCATTTTTCTTCACACGCTAAGAGTACGATCAAAAAGTTGAGCAGTCTTGCCGCTTGACGGAAGCGCTGAGTAGATCTCAGAACCGGTGTTTTTTGGAACTGCTGCGTCTATCGCACTCCTATCCATCCATCTTTTTCACCTTTTTAGTTGCCTCCAAGTGTAATCTGTCGAATGGCCAGCCTGATTTCGGAAAGCTCACTTAGGCATGCCTGGGTAGTAGCTGTTACCTATTACGAGCGGACAATTTTATGACTGCCTCTAGATAGTGATCAACTTCAGAAGAGCGGTAGCCACCTCTACCATGTTTGAAGCGGCACAACGAGACAATAAGGACCAGCACCAAGACCTGGGATTTGACGTGCTCGTCTCGCTCCAAACAGCGTAGATGTATAAATACAACAAAATGACGCCCAGAAGGCCGGTTGTCCGCGGAAAGGACAAGTACGGGTTCGAGTCCCGTCCGAGACTGAAATTTTGTCCATGAATCGCCAACCTTGCGAGATTGTAACGAAAGATAAACGTGGAGTAAGACAAAGAAGACTGCGCACAGAGAAATGCTAAAACAACCGTCTCCAGAGTTCCCAGGTATTTTTAGGGTTGCCTAGAAAAGGGAGGATAAGAAAAACTTTCAGGTAGCCAACCCTAACTTTCAGGTAGCCAACCCTGACTTGTTTTTTAGAGGGTGGACTTCAAAATAAGTAAATATGCTCTAATGTAACTCGTTAACAATTTCAGCGTCATGCCACGGATATGAACTTCAGCTATGGCTCTGCTAGTCAGTGTTTCGAACAAATTCGTGGGCAAATGGATCGTGCTATTCAATGTTACAATAAATACATGGAACAAGGGTAAGTTACAATGACATACCCTCTTCCTTAGTGACTTTCTTGCTGTGATGAGTTCCTTCAGATGTGCCAGAGGAGCACCGCAAATGGTACCGAAGCGATATGGGGAAACGCTCAAGCTGGCCCTGTACAGTCGTATCAGCAATATGATGGACCGAACTGGTAACCTTGTACTTCAGAATCTTACTGTAATTGGAAAAGACGTGAAATAAAAAACGTCCTGGTCATGATCGGTCCATATTTTAGGAGTTACTCATTGTGTTGGATCAACTATGTGAGTGTTGGTTTTCAGGTGTTCGCCAGGAACTGATGGACTTCTTCAAGGCATCACAGAAGTTTTCTGGATGTCAATTCAAATGTGTAGGCAAAAGTGCAACCTCATGCAAAACAAAGAACAAGTAAGTGTATGTCGCCTTCTAAAAGGCCAGTAATTGAAAAAATTGCTTGTTCCAAGATTAGAAAAAAAACGAGGTAGGAAATGAAATAGGTTTGTAGTGTTCATAAAGTAGTTCACCCAATCAATTGCCACTCAAGGATGAAGTTACTCGAAAGAGGAGACAGAACCGCTCTTCTTCTATAGGACTTTGAGGAAGGCGGTGTTGGGATAGCCGCGGGAGTTTGGTTTGCCCCAACGAGTGATTAGAAAGAATAATGATTGATAAGATAAGATACATGACAGGTTTCTTGCGAATTTTCAAACGTTTTCAATTTTCAACACTTCTATAAAAAAGCTTGGCAAGCACATTTTAATAAATTGATAAGCATTTAAAGGCACAGTTCACGATAATTTTGAGGTACCCATTTTCATTCGAAAGGCGAAACGTATGGGTCAGGAATAATTTATCGGTAGTGAACAAAGCAAGAGAATTCGCCGATTTCGAGGAAAATATGGCTCCTCAAAAGGAGGGAAAATAGAGGCTGGACGAGATTGCCATGTCGAAGTTAACATGGCAGGTGTATTCGGACGAGATTTCAGTCATTGCAATTGCACAAGGAGCTGTCTACATCTGCCAGAACTGTAGAGAACTGTCTTTCACTCTCGCTATGGGTCATGACAAGTTGTTTGAACTCCCTGCATGGGCTCTCTTGCGAGCGGTGCAGCCTCTACAATGCCGGTGAAACTCGTCCAAGGATACACACAGGCCAATCTTTGAGTCTTTATGACTCCCTAACTGGGCCGTTTTCCGGCCTAATAGTGCCAGCTATGGTATACGCGGGGGCCTCGAATTCATCCTGTCGGGGAATCTCAGAAGCCATTTTTATCGTGAACTGTGCTTTTAAGTAGATAATTAAGAAAATTGAATGAACCTTCCTGTCGAGGGATTTATTGATATCTCAAATTTCCCAAAATCATAATCAAGCTAGACATTTTTTCCTGGAAGTGCTGGGCCTTCGTTATTTTCAATGGACACCAAGGATACTCAATGACAAACGCACTCAATAACTAACAGGATTAAAAGTCAATATAAAAGGTAGTGTCAGGAGACTTGCCTAGAAGTTGAGTTCGCTCCTAGAAGAACTGAATTACCTTTACTTATTCACGACAGAACCCGCTCTAAGTAAGACTTTGGTGGTTACCGTTATTGTTGCACTTTAATGCATAACTTTTACTGTATTTTTAAGCAACGGAGAGCCGAAAAAGGAACCTTTAGGGAAATGTCCTTTTAAAGTATGGCTCGACTACTTTGCTGTGTTTCAGTTGCGGCATAGTGGAGCCACCAGACAATGTTATTGTGGACAATATGATTCAATGTGCAGTCCAGAGCGGAATCGACACTCCAACCATTCAAAGACTCTGTCATTGTATCACACAAGCTGGTAACCAGTAAGTTTAATGATTTCCAAACGAAACGCTTTGTCCCGCGGAGGACGCGATGCTAAACTTTTCGGTTTTATCCCTTACACTACCGGAACCCATTCGCTCCCGCCCCTCAATGGCATTTCAGCCATATCCTAGTAGTCTTCACAGGAACAGCGTTATGAGCCAATTAGCTGATATCGGATGTAAACTATGTCTATTGAGCTCCGAGAACCCACTGCCGAGGTGCAGTTCAGACAGGAACTCGCCGCATAGTTGACTTAGAGTCTTCGGAATGCTTCCTGGGCTCGTTGCAGTCACAGTAGTCTCACAACAAGGAGTTCGGCCCATCAGCTAAATGAAAAGAGTTCAGGGTCAAATATAGCTGAACAATGAGCACCCTTTGTCTCCAACACTAAGCGCAGATAGCGAAGAATGAGGGTAAGTCCACTTTGCAGACCCGTAATGAAACTTAGAAACGTTGCTAGCGATAGTAATATAGTTTTCACCCAAGCCTAAAAAGCAGAGGAGCACCCCGAGGTGGTGAGTGTCTTCTCAGCAGGAACACTATACTAACACGCTACTGCATACACTTTTGAAGAGAAATGAATCAATGTCATCTGAATGGCCAACTCTTCCCCATCCCAGCTTTTTGCATGAGGTCATCATCTCACCCACCCCGGTGCTGCGCTCTTTCTAGGGCTGAGGTGAGAAACTATATATTCGCCAGCTGAAAAGTTTCCAACCTCTATTACGAGCCCGCACAGTCGACCACCCCACTTTTCTGCACCCTGGCGCATAGAAACGGGGGTAGTCGGGGGGCACAAATGATTAAGGTTTCTGAAGCAGTATTAGCAATAAAAAAGAATTGCTTCTCATAAAAAGGTGACACTTTACTACGTACAGTCCAGGAAAAATAGCGATTGTATAGTGTTTGAAACGGAGGATGTCTACCATTCCCGCTCCCTTTCCCAACTAAGTTTTCACTTAATTCAGTCCCGAAATCGAAGCCTAACTTTTCCATCGAAGACCTATTTGTGATGAAGTTGACACCGGTGAAGTTTGACCGTAGAAAATGGATGGGCCTGACTCACAGCGCCTCTTACCCCAGCAGTACCACCTTCCCTCTGCTTTTTACGCAATAAGCGCACAAAATAAAATATATCTTTATTTTCAGGCACTTAGAAGCCGTTTGCGATCGACTGGTTATGCCATAAATACTGCAAAGGGAACTGTAAATAGATCGGACACCAATATTTTGTAGCTTTCGGTTATCCATATGTGATACTGAATGATAACTTTGTTCTGCGTAGTATTGGAATGTGATAAATTTTGAGTAATTAATGATGCTCTCTGAGACTTTGTGGAAAATACGATTTTTTCTTCATAGACTACGACCATCATTGTGTAATTTCTTTCCGAGAGCTGGAAAAAGTTAAACATCATATATCGAAATAACTTGATGGCCCCTTTCGATACAAAGTCGATTGACCAGCTTGCTTTCCTTTGCTGTCTACTGTCTATTCCAATTCTCAAAGTAAGGTAATACTCCCGATCCACCCACAGCACCTGACATTTACTGGTTAGTTGTCTCGACGTCTCCCATGCCGGTCAAACTATCATTCCCTTTCCCCACCCCTTCGCCACGTCTGAAAAAAGAATTTGTTACCACTTCTATGTGGAACCTTACTATGCTTCACTATACTATTTGCAATGCTTGATAAACGACCACATCCAAGTAGGGTTATGACTTTGAAAACTCAAACAGTCCTTTAACCACGATTCTTTTCATGAAATATCCTTATTTCCCAGAATTATGAACAAATCAAGTGTTCCCACACACATTACTTTTCATCATAAATGACAAATCAAAAATTATAATTTATTAGCATAATTACATAGATATTGTTGTGAAGGAAGTATCGAGTTTAGTTAGTGAAATGGAAGCTTTTCTGGATTAGTTCTGACACTTCGAACTTGTTTCAATAATACTTCATAGCCTTCTATTTGCTTGGCGGCCGTTCTGGTGATTCAATCTGTAGTAGTAAGTCAGTTATGAGAAAAAAACTTGGCAAAAAAACATTATTATGGATCCTGATGACTACATACCATTGTGTCATGACGTGGGTAAGGTGTCTGTTTGGGTACGGTCTGGAAAATGTAGAGCTAGAGACCTGCTTTTGGGAGCTCTCGCTACTTTGTTTATGTCAAGCTCGAACCTCTCTCGCACGTCGATCAGGTGAACGATAGACGGCAACGATACAAATACATGCCAATGACGCAATGGTTATATATACAATTACTATGGCCACTGCACTGAAAGTAGTACGGTAGGAGTTTTTTGTAAGAAGCAATGTCTAATCGTCAAATCGTCAATCGTCCACTCAGACTCAATAAATAAATAAAATTTGAATCAAAGTAGTGATCTGTACGCACTGCTTCCACGAAGTTAAAGGCACAGGTCACGATAGAAACAGTTTCTGGAATTATCCCTCAAGATGAATTTGAGGCTCTCGCGTATACCATAGCTGGCACTATTAGGCCGGAAAACGGCCCAGTTAGGGAGTCATAAAGACTCAAAGATTGGCCCGTGTGAATCCTCGGACGAGTTTTACCGGCATTGTGAAGCCTGCACCGATCACAAGGAAACCCATGTAAGAAGTACAAACAACTTGTCATTACCCATAGCGACAGTGAGAGACAGTTCTGTACAGTTTTGGCTTGATGTAGTCAACTCTTTGCGCAATTGCAATAACTGAAATCTCGTTCGAATACCCGTATTATTTGCTATATTATATTTTTCTCGGAATCGGTGAATTCTTTCTTTCTTCATAAACCAATGAACTATTCCCAATCTATAATTCCGCTTTTCGAATAAAAACAGGTACCTCAAAATTATCGTGAACTTTGCTTTTAAGCATTTCCCTCTTTTTCCCATTTCCCGAAACTTTTTAAACTAGTGCAACGTAGTTAAAACCATACTGCGCATCACTGAGGTCCTCGGTTCGAGCTATGGACTTCATATTGTCTCGCAAACATTCCACTAGTGATCGTTGCGTTTTGGAATCTTTGATGACTTTCCATGTGAGAACATCCGTGATGATAGATGGCTCGTTGATTGAGTTATCAATGAATTGCTGAAAATTGTTTTGAAAGTAGTGCGAAATCATCGCGCGCGACTTTTTCGCGCCGACGAGCAGCATGCTAGCGCGAAAAACGTCACTCAATCAAATGTTTACATAGAGAGTGTCTCCAAAATAGGCCTAATTGATCGCACCTTTTGCCTGAACCTGCCGGACTGGACAGCAGTACGGTTTACCCAGACAGACCGAAAACATGATCAGTAAAAGGAGTGGCCACTTACTTTCACCTGATCTATGTGGTTGCAGTAATCGAAATTACAAAAGCATGCCGCAATAACGTTGCTACCTTCCCAGAATCCACCACATTTACGGTTGAGCTGAAGCAAAAGGTCACCGTCAACGATTGCCTTAACTCTTCAAAGCACAAAATCATGGACGTGAAATAGCCATCGCACCATTGTCGTATTTAGAGTGGCGAAGCCATAAAGTTGATTGAAGGTTTCACATTTAAGCGATGGATATAATTCATAATAAAGGCAGAAGTTTCCCTCAAAATTTTTAGCAATAAAAGGAAGCATATACACCATGTCAATAGAAATTTCAAAAAGAAGGAATGATTTGAAGAACCATTCACTTCAGCTTGCTCGAAACTTTCACAAATTTCCGTGCCCTAAAATGACGGTCGAACGGCCGAAACAGCGGAAGATCCTAAGATAAAGTTCAGCGCCACCTAGTTCATATGTAAGGTTTAAAAAACTAAAAAATGAAATAAATTTCGGCCCCCTCAACTTTTGAGGACCCCCCCCCCCTTCTCTCCCAACCAACCCCTCGTACGGTAGCCCAAAACGTAATGGGGCCTTGATAGCGGACCATGCGTAGGCTCACCTTCATTTGATCCCTTTGAAAACCCAAAATCTACCTCGACTTCTCCTTTGGTACCGGCAACGACTCTGCCCTGATGACACTTCAATGACGTAGTCAGCCTAGTAGCCATCAGGACCATTGCAGCCGCGTAGAAGTACCTGACTGAACAAAACATCGAATAAATAAGTTTATGTCACCATTGTGGTAGCAACAAAAACTCAAAAAAAAAGATTTATAATTCAAAAAAAACATCTTTTCATTATCCGCTCAAATGGAAGAAGGAAAACCGCTGAAGTAAACAACCGCAGAGGTTCAACACCAGCACAGAAGAGAGTAGGAAACCACCTGGGGCCGATGACCGCAGAGTCGGTACAGGTGAGGACGGGCAAGCCGCAGAAGTTCAGGGATTCCGGAGGGGTTCGACACGGCAGCGATGATGACGAGGAATGCCGCAGCTGTTTCGTACGGTAGAGATGAAGACGACGAGTGCCGCAGAGGTATAACACGGCAGTGGCGAAGACGACGAGTTTAGAGGGGTTCGACAGAGATGAAGGAGCATCTGAACTTATTCGACACAACCGCGATGGAGACGAGGAATGCTGCAAGTGTTCAAGCTGAACACAACGATGAAGAACGAGATCCGCACAGGTACAACAAAGCAGAGGTGGAGACGAGGAATGCCGTATCTGTGCTACACGACGGAAGCGTGAAGAGGAAGAGTGCCTGCTGCCACGGTGCAATAGAAGGTAATGCTGCTTTATACGGCAGAGCTGAAGAAGACCAATGTCGCATAGCTATAATAAAACACGGTAGCGGTGAGAAGATAAATCTGGAGAGGCTCGACACGACAGACATGAAGAAAACGAACGCCGCATAGGTTAGTCATTAGCAAAGGTGGGAACGGGAGAGCAGCCAAGGCGAGGACCACAGAGGTTCATTATAGCAGAGAAAAGGAATGGAAAGTCACAAGGATTAGCACCGGTGAAAACGGGACCGCTGAGATCAATGACCATAGAGTTTCAACATCAGCAGGGAGGGTATCGAAGACCAGATGGTCAACTCAAACAATTTTGTGGCGACAGTTACTGAGACGAACAAGGAAGTCCAACAGTCTTATGGCCAGACCTCTTCATTAGAGCTCCTAACGAGGAGTATGAACTGCTCCGTTTTCCTCGGAGGAAGCTTCAGCGGACTACAATCTCGCGAAAAGTTACGGGCACTTCCATTGTAGTTTCATCTCCAGCAAACAATATGGTTCTCAGATGAAGCGATTACTCTACATGAACGAAGGGCTCACCAGAATGTACTGCTCTTCTCCAGTGTAGCATTACAAATGGAGCACCCTCTGTTTCGCTTTCGCTGTTATTGTTTATGGAGTTCAGCACTGTTTTGTGAGCGGGCATGTACATTGTGACTCGAACTGTGCCACACCGTAACAGGTAGGTTCATTTCTAGACTCACCTAGACACTACTAGGTTGCTGAACTCGTCAAAGATTAGGTGTGTCATATGGTTCAGTGTGTTGGATTTGGACGGAATTCAAATATAGCTCTGAATTTCAGCACGATTCCAAAATAGAAGTAAAAATGCTCCCAAAAGGTAAAGAAAAGGTAATGGTTAAAGTTCTGCTGCTCTGAATAGATTTAGAAATTTGGTATACAAATTGCTCAAAGGACGTCTGCTTGCGACTTGTTGAATACTCGAGGAATGGACGAACCTTCAGAAAATGGACATATGAACGGTTAGGTAAAAAGGTTACGGGTCCAATTGTAACGTGCCAAGATTGCCCTTGTCTGAGGGTAAGTCCCATACTTTTTTTCGGGCAAAGTCCGTTGATGATGGGGGTACTCTGTTCAGAACCAACACGGATTGATTGCAAAGACTCCCATTGATAGTGATCACTCAATGCGATCTGCTCGCAAAGGGTAGGTTCACAAGAAATATTAGTTCTCCCTCGATCTGAGTCTGAGTGATGGAGAAAGCTGTGTGTAGTGTAGAAAAAGCTACAGAAGACTTGAGGATAGCGTATGGTATTACCNTTCCCCCCCCCCCCCCCCGACCTCCCTCCTCAGGGCTTCATTGATGAGGGCCTGGAAGGAACCTATTTGATCCACATTTTGGTGTTCGATTATCCGGAAGTTTCGTACCGATTGACTCACTGTGAGTTTCGGTTGGTTTCGGCCTGTGTTCAACCCACATTCGCTCTCTACAGCTTACGAGTGGGAGTGCACCTCTGAGTACTCCACCTTCGCCAACTCTTTTTGATACGATAGCTAGCACTGATATCTGCAGGGGTTATCACTGAATGAGAGGCTCAAAAGCGAACGAAGGCTATCAGGTGCTCTGATACCTACACCCGGAACTCAATTGAAAGCGGCAAGCCGCTCGGACGGTACAAGCCTGTAGTCTGTTATTAGTAAACCCTATCTCAAAGAACGCATTGCACCCACTCTCAGCACTGTAGGGTCTTTGGAATCCTATAGAGCTTTTGACAAAGGCAAAAAGATAACTTGAGGCCCCCACCAACCAGAACTCATCTGTTTAGCGCCAAACAATCTAGCAAACAGTTCAAACGACCTCCAGCTGACCGCAACGCAGCAAGAACCAACTGGATTTACACATAGATTCGGTTGTGAGATTCGATCCAGTACCACGTGTGTGCCAACCTCGCTCCCCTTCCCAACTTGATGTCCATAGGTCAGGCAGTTTATCGTGATTTTAGATAGATTACTTCTTTATGATTTACCAGGCGATCAGGCTCTCCTCTTGCTCGGCAACTTAAACAACAAAGAGTGGAAAGGGAAGAAAGGATGGACATGGAAAAAGAAGCAGAGGGAGCTCGGAAACGTCGCCAACAACGTCACAAATCCAGAAAAGATAAGGTTGCACGTGAGAAAGAACCCGAACTGATGGGCACACAGCGAACGGCATCCTTCAATGATCTGCAATTCCAAGATAGTAAAATGGAGTTCAAGTCGGAGGAGAAAGGTCCATCTGGCTCTGACAGTGGGTCTGCTGAAAGGAAGAGACGGGAAAGAGAAAAAAGTCATCTCGATATCGATGAACGAACTGCTCTCAAAGAGTTGTCCAAGGTAGCCATTATATCCTGAAAACTCTCAAAATAGAAAAAAATACTACTTCGATTCTATTAAAGCTTTATCGCGACCTTCTGGAACGGTTCGAAGAGCTACGGCAAAAGCAGGAGGCTCAGGTAAGGGATGAACAGAAGATTTCCCGTCCGTTCTTCACCCTCCCGATGTCATCCTATGTTCCAGATGAGTGCTGAATCGGACAGCACTCGACTTCGCCGACTGGCCAAGACGGACCCTTCGGTAAAAGACGTTCTGCAGGATCTCGTTGAAAATATCAAAAAAGCTCTACATGATTTCAAGACATGTGCTGTACGTACTGCCACCGTAATCTCGAGCAGTTTTAGTCCCACCCGTGAACAGCCAGCCATTTCAGACATTGGCCGGTGCAATGCTGCCAAACGCATCGATACACGAGCGTGAACTCAGTCATATATTGTTGGAACTCGAATGTGCATCCATTCACGAGTAAAACAAACTTGTAATTAAAGTAACAACAAAAGCGATTCTGTATGTCGTGCATAAAAGGCGTTTTTCAACATTTCGGTGTTTTTGTATGAGAAAAAATACAATTATTTTCCCATACAGTGGCCGAAGAACCCCAAATGTCGTTCTCAAAAGTACCAAAGAATACATTGGGGAAGGTCCATTAGAAGCGAATCAATGGAAAGTGGCTCAAGACAAGAAATGGTCAGAAATGAATGAATGTAGGAAGAAAGATTAGAGGACTGAGGTGCCCAGTGGTCTTCACCGGGGAGTGACCCAAACCATCAAAGAGCAGATTTGTTGTACTGGAGCAGACTTTTGTCGCATAAAATAACTAACCGAAGAAATTTACTCCCGCTCAGATCTGAATATCAGGGAAGCTCTCTCAGCCATTCACCAGTTTCCTCTTTGACGTCCGCTAGGTGAGATCTACATAACGCCATACATTCTATCTATAAAATCGAGCAACGTCCATATTTTCAGAGGGTGGGCGATCCCGGGATTCCTAGAAGTCTCCAACCCTTTATTAACTTGAAACTTTTATTAATCCTTTCGAAAATAACTTCGATATTCCGGATCCGCTAGATGAGTTCAAACTTTAGCTCCAGTTCTTTCCTCTGGCCCCATCTCTCCCAACAGAATTGACTTGTACGAGTTTTTTGAAAATCTTGAAATACCGTAAGTATTGCTAGACTAGCATAACAGATTTGACGGCAATTAAACAAACATGGGAGGTGATAGTGCGGAAGGAAACATGGAAGCCTGGATTAAAGGCACAGCCCGCGACAACATTAATATCTATTTGTTGAAAAGTGGTATGTTTGTGGGGGATATGCAACGGTGGTGAAGTTAGCGAGAAAATCTGTCGACTCTGCGAAAAACATGAATTCTCAGAAGTAGTGAAAGTAACGGTTGTACGAGGTCATCACGAAGAAAATGGCATGAGATGGGTATTCGGACAAGATTTCAGTTGTCGCAGTGCGTAAAAGCTTACTATTATATATTGAGCCAAATAGACCCAAAACTGCCTTACACTGCCATCATCGGTCAAGACCAGTTATTTGAATTTCCAACACATGTATCCTTAGTGATCTTTCGTACAGTGGAGCAGAAACTATCATAATGCGAACTGCTTATGGTTAGACGCAAAGCGAAAGAGATGGTTTCCGAGTTATCCCCCAAGATAAAGCTGAGACCTACATGTGTACCATATGTGTGCTGTCGGATCGGAAAATGTTATAAGGGAGCAAGTATTGTATCGGCTATTTGCCACACTCGAGGGCGGACGAGTCTTACGGGACGGCAGAAGAGGCTGCACCGTTGAAGCCGTTTCTTTTTTCTTTTCAAAAAAGTCTTTCAAAAAATGTTTTGACACCCAACCCACAGGGCGGCCTGATCAAGACCTCCCGGTCTCCCTCCGTTAATATGTGGAGCCCCACCACTGCGGATCTTTCGCCAACACTGGAACATCTCATCTGCTCTGGTCACACTGCTTGACACGAAGTAAGACTGCAGGTAGCGAGATGGACCATATCACTCTTTCTTCAGTAACTCACAGAGTTTTCGACTATCTGATAATGCTCATCGTTTCTACTACTTCTGCTGTGTTTCATTCGCGTTCGTTTCCCGACATCAGGTGGTCGCTATGTCCAGAAAGAGTCAAAAGTCAAGAGCAGGTTTGATTATCGGAGCCACTTTTCTCCTGGAGTTTCCCCTTGATTCTGATGAATGATGATTGTCCCGCGGAGACGAGAACTTGAGAGAAAAGATTCACCCAAGAGAAAGTGGGAACGAAGATGACCTGCTTCCATACGCCTGTCGACCGATGTCCCTTCAGAAGATGTAAATTGCAGGGCTCGTTGAAGATCAGACGCAGGAGGAGGAAGTTCCATGGCTGCGGATGGAACCAGGCTCACTTCAAAAGCGATTTATGTTTGTTTTGGTGTTGCTATACTTTCACCATGGAAGAAATTTCCAATGAAGGGAATGTGTGATCTCAGATAATCTTGGGGTTTCTCATGATGGTTCCTTTACAGAGAGCCAGTCCATTCAAGAGCCTCGTGATCAGAACTATAAAAGAAAGATCTTTTTCAGCAGATATCAGAACAGCTTTCGATCGCATATAAGGGCTGGTTCACGTTATGTGGAGTTTCATGGCTTGGAAAACGACAATACTGGATGTTGTCACGTTCGAGTCAAGAATTTTTCGGCGAGCGTCAGCAGTTTTCCATATTTTTAATCAGCCTACGGGCCAGACAACCTTCTTTGCCTACCTGTGAAGCCTGGCAGATATATCATACCGTTGAATCAGAAATCTGCTGGAATTGAGACAGAGATAAAAGGATAAGGGTAAAGTCTTGTGTCGTCAATCAATCCCGTCTGAGGGATGCGCCCAGGCATTCGACTTCCATTCAGAATCATAGTGGCGTATTGAATGCGTATGTGGCCTATGCAATGGATTGCAGTGGCCAGCCGATGAATAAGTCGCTGCTTTTATCCTTCCAGACGAGTCTGGTATCAATTAACCGAACGCGGAGAGATGGAAGGCTCGACTGGCTTGGGGGGATATCGATCTGAGACTCGATCCCGTGCCCGTGCGTGTGTAACAGTGCGTCAGATGCCACTGCACTACCTCCGCCCTCACAATAGACCCACCTTCGCCCTCGAAATAGACAGATACAGGAGAAAGTATTCAAACGGAACTTTAAGGGTTGAAATTAGCACAGTATCTCTGTTGAGAACTCTTTCTAGATGAGAGGGTGAACCTGGGTTTTGACCATGAGCGGACTGACCATCATTCCCTTTGGCGCGCTGTGAAATATCTACTCTAGTGCAGTACAATGGAGCCTCCACGCTCGAGGAAACATAAAGGCTTCCCTAGAAACTCATGAAGATCTTTGACCTTCTCTGAGGAGCTGCAGTTGAGTCTTACTAGTTTTGGGAGCAGGTACGTGTACAACTACTAAATGGGGTTTCGAGATGATACGGGATCCTTCTTGAAGCACATGGTCGTCTAGTGACTTTTCATTATCTTGAGTCATCTAGTCTTTTGACAGATAGGGCTTCAGTCGAATATAAAGCAAAAACCTGAGCTATTCCGAAGTTCATTCAGTAATGAAGCCACGTCAAATAGGGACTTTTGTGAATTGATGCAAGGAAACCAATCTTTTTTTTCAGCACATCGTTTTCAACGTACGAAGACCACCTCCATCATACTTTGGTGTAACTCCAAAGGTGATAATTCTCCGATCAATTTTTACTAGTTTTGGGAGCAGGTACATATACAACCACTAAATGGGATTGTTTTACCTAACGGAAGACTAGGTGAACAGTATCTCTGTTGATCTTTCCCTCAGCCTAATTGTACACTATCGAAGCAGTAGATTGCGCAGAGGTTCAATCAAAGTGAATTATGTAAGACAAAATTGCTCAACCAAACACGAAAAAAGATCTCTACAGTGCTTGCATCAGTGACTATCGGCTTTGGGTTTGCCATTGAAGGACGGTTCACGAAAATTTTTGGGGTATCTAGCTTTAGTGAAAAAACTCTCCAAAAAATCGGGGTATTCAGAGAAAGGCTTCAAAAAAGAAAACTTGTAAGGTTTGGCGAGAATGTGAAAAGTTGCATGGAAATGGTGTTTGGACGAGCTGTCCGCATTTGTGTACCATTGTGTACAGCCGACTACAGCAAGCGGCCTGCGTGCAAAGTTAATATTCCGGCGAGAAAAGGGCAACCATTACAGTCTCCACCAAAGCACACATTCTACTCTTAATTACTCCCTCCAATGAACCCTTGATCCCTTCATTTTCGTCTCCTCACCGAAGTGTTGCTTACTTTCAAGGTTGGAATGCTCGCTCCACAACAGACCACGACCATCTTCATGACGTTCAGTGGACGTTGCTCAAGAATACCAGATGATCTAGTGTGGTTATACAGCATCTATCAGTTAGAGGTGATTGTGAAAAATTAAAGGGTTACTCCTCGATGAGATTCTGCTCAATCGCGAAGAAATTCTCAGAATTAGAATAGAGAGAGGAGAAAAGAGAACTGTTTCAGATCGACGAAAACGCTGCCAGTGGAATAAAGACCGAGAAGTTCTCCACGAAGACCATTCGCAGGGTATTTACTAGTTCAAGTTTGGAAGCACATTCTCTAAGAAAATGGAAGTGAGCTACAAAAATGACCAACACAGATCTTAGGTACACGCGAAAAAGTGGGAAATACTGGTCCCAGCAACCGTTTAATGCTGAGACCGATTTCGTCTGGATATTGGGAGGGCGGACGCGGTGTAGTGACAAGTGGCGCACTACCACACACGCATGGCTCGGAAATCGTGTCCTTGATCAACACCATCCAAGCAAACTAAACCCTCTAAGCCTTTCGGGTTGTTACCAGACTGGTCTATGAGGATCAAACAATTGCCTTGCATACTGGCTGGCCACCGCAAGTCATTGTATAGGCCCAATACGCCACAGACTTCCATGATTACAAACAGAAATTGTTTGAAAAACGGGACGAAAAGCTGATTCTTCATCCTTTATTGGCAAGGAATTCAAGCAATGGTGTAGCCGAGGGGCCTAGACCATTCCCTAAGTATGGGGCATATCTCGTCACCATCGCATTTCAGACGAAGCTAAACTCACAAGGCATACTAGTGACCCCATTCAATTCTTCTGACTTTACTAACTATACCATAACTCAGGTCTGGCAACTTATCGGTTCTGAAGACGTAGCAAACGTTCTACATTTGGCATGTGTCTTTTTTCATGACAGCAAAAAAGGTCGTTGCCTCCGACGGCATACGGTAAGGCCAGTGCCCGAGCTTGACGAGGCAGGAATGCTTGGTGAGATAATTTGATGGACTTTTTTATGAAAGTTTCTAATAGTACCAGGTCCCAGACCCCACATACAATTTACTGGAAGGCTGACAGAGTTGGAGAATTTTGAAAACAAATTAAACCCACAATAACTCCGCTGTTGTCGATTTCTTTTGAAATGGCTTTTTCAGAAAATTTACCTAAGGACCTATTCCTTACGACCGAGGTTTTTTTTCAAGCGATAAAGGCATCTGAGTAAATCCCAACAAGAGTGAAAGACAAAACTCGTCCACGTGGCTTGACTTGAGTTTAGAGCTGCGAATACTGCTCAAGAAAACTCACCAATTTTGTTGAGGCGAAATAGCATATGCTTTTTTCCAACAAAATCACGAGACCAACCTTGAAAGCGATCGTTTAGTGGACGAGGAGGAGTACGACCCAGACCTCCACGACGATCAAAGCGAAGATCTTCCGAGTGCAAACGAGGGAGATTTCTGAATGGATTACGACTTTCAAGTCAAAATTTAACAAGTTTCTTAGAAGATAACAATAATTTAATAAATTTGAAATCATTGCAAATTTTCAATCAGTTTTGTCGCGTTTCAGGACTCTTCGCAAATGAAATTTTGATTTTCGGCACGTATAGATTTGAAAAATGGTCCAGAGCTTTACACTTTCCCATCGTGTTCCGGTATACGCCACACTTTCGATCAACGAAAAGATTCGTGGAAGTGGGTGAAGGCTTCCGAGTAATGCATGAAGTAGGAAAGAGAAGTGTTCCGCGGAAGTACCGGGACTCCCATGCACTTTCCCTTTCTGAATGGCCCACACGGACACCTTTGCAAAATGAAACGTTCTCTCACTTGTGCGCCCGAACTATGATTCCCTTCTTTTTTATGGGTGAATTGTAAGCATGCAAGGTCGTACTGATAGTACTGGAAGGATGCACCCTGCTACTTCCCGGACGAGGAGTTTATCACGTAGATGTACCCATCGCCATATTATGAAGCCAGGTGGGCTACAAGCAGAGCAACCTAACAAAAAGCCCGAAGACCTGCGGGTAGGCGTGAATCTAGGGGAAAGAAGTTGAGCGTAGGTAATAGGATAAAAAGAGGGAGGTGCTTGGGGAAGCATAGCAAGATTTTTACTCAAAAACATTGCCACAGCCAAGAAAGGCGCTTCTAGACACTCCAAAAGGATGGAGTCGCCGTTCGAGACTAGAATTGATCCTCTTCATTCCACTTCATACCATACTTGGAATAACATTACCAAGTAGCACAGTCCAAACTTGTATGGATAGTTTAGTACGAACTGCTGCTCAGCTCTTGAACAATTTATTTGGAATCATCTTCGATTCTTATATATAAATTCACAGGAATGTTTTGTCGTAAAATCGGACAAATCCATCACCGGTAGGGTAAACGTTACCGGTTGTAGTAACGGTTCACTGAGACACACAAAAATCTTGACCTCACATCTTCAAATGAATACATTAAAACAGAGAAACAATGGAGAACATCACATGGTTAAAGAAATATGTGATCGGCAAAAAATGGCATCTTAAAAACGCGTTGGAGGTGGCATCGACAGATGATGATGGTCAAGCCGTGCTTTCGATCGCAGTGTTCCGACAATCTCGCCGTCTGATGTAGTTCGAAGCCGAGGCAATGCGAACCTGATGAAAATCATATCTATAAAGTACGTTATTAGAAAGAAATCAAGAAAATTTTCTGCTTAGAGCTCGTAATCCACAATAAACTTCAGAGGTGTTTATTGGAGTTCCTACAGCCTCTGAAAGGAACCCGAGAAGTTCAGCGAGAAATCAAGATTATAGGCACCAAATTCATTGGCCCAATCAGTGAGCAAAGGCAAACATTTTCTTATCGGAAACAATCTCAGACAGCAGCTATTTTTGGAGGTCTGAATTGAGCAAGAACTCCAGGTCTATTCGATCCTTTCGGCTTCTCCCATGCCTTGGGTTTCTATTCGGGATCGTTGCGGTATTTCAGTCGGCAAACTAGTAATTCATGAGTCCGTAACAGGACAGATGGAAGGGATGAAGAGCCTTCACTGGCCTGCGAGGGATTCCATTACTTTCAGCAACATTACTGCTTTGTTGGGGAACGACGAACAGAATAACCACATCAGGCTAGCGGCCACCACGCTGAACGGCCATGTCGAAGACAGTGGGGTAAACATATTCGTTTCACAACAGGTAAGGCTCTTTTTCAACTGTCATCAGCTCTAAGACGTTAATTTTTGATTATAGCGAAAAAGCGCCTCCTATAAACCGATTAGATAATCTGTCTGGGCTACGCCCCTTCCAGCAGCAAGAAATGGATCTTAATCGCATTAATACAGAACTTTATAAGAACCTTCCTGAATTCAGAAACTGTTCATAAAAGGGAGCCCTGGAAGGATACAAAACTTATATTTCAAAGCTATGAGGGTATGCACCAGTTTAGGATGGAATTCAGTCAATATTGCTTCATCTGTGGATACATACAGCCAAGAGTATTGTGCGAGAACACGGAATACTCCTCACCGCTTTTTCCCCAACTGAGCCACAATCACCTCGTTGGCGCTCGGTCTTGGATAATGCATCTCTCTGTAAGGCAGATACTGTGGAACTGGACGTATATCCCTTAAGTTTCACCTGGGTCTCATCTGAGCTCAACTTCAATCAACAGCAATAGATATCTAGTAGTAAAACAGACGGTGACTGGTGATAATATGTAGTTTAATGGTGAAAGGGCTTGTCTTACTGCGGATAGTCGAGTTCTGTATGGATTGCCATAGCCTCGAGCGGTGCATCAGACTTGATGTCTTCTTGTCTGAAAAGGTGGAAACAGTCCTCGGAAATAATTTGTGGGATCGAAATTCAGTGGGCTAGCTGATTCCCACAGTCATATCCTCACCTGCACTGGAGAAAGCACATTACTAGCGCCCATAAATGTAAAAGGCTCGTAACCAGTGAGTCGACAGTCATTCCGATGGAGGTATATCGGGCGACTGAAAAAATGAACTTTTCCCATAGGATTCCTGTGAGGGTAAGCATGAGATGATCCTATCTGAGCTGATCAGGAAGGGGAAGGGAAGGAAAGGGGGACCTCTCTATGACTTGTAGCGCGACCAGATGTAGGACTTGACTCTGCTTTATGTTGGAATACCAGGAAAAGTATTCTAATAGTAAGTCATAGAAAAGGTTGGCGTTGGCTAGGAATACGCCATACATCCAGAACTCCCAAAAACTCTATGACTGCTTGGAATCTCTCTTGAAAAAGGTTACACTCTCGCATAACTCCAAGCTTCTCCCACACTTTAAAGCATAGGCCTGCCTGGGAACGATTCTGATCGACACACCCAGGGTACCTACACATTCTAAGTCTGCCGGAATCGTCGAGTACCCATTTTAAATATTACTTTTACCTCAAAAAATTGTTTTGACCCACCTTTTACTCTGCGATCTTCATCCATATGAATTATGTACGTCAATACTTTATAGACAAGCGAATGAGGAACGAATATTTCAACACAGAAAAATACAAAGAAGCCAAATATTACTGCTGTAGCAATTGCCTGAATCAATAAAATCAGTAATTGCTCAGCAGCCTCGACACTCTCAAATAAAAACGTGCTACCTGTAAACCCGTTCCAATTCTGAGCACCGTTGTGTTACCTCTAGCGTAACCCCAAAACGGTACGATATAGTATAAACCTAAATCAGCCGCAAATATCAGCTTTTTCGGCATGTTTCGCTACGACAGGTATAGTGACTTACCCAAAGCGAGGGTACCAACAGCTCCCCATAGTTGAGCAGCAAGAAACAGGGCATTATACACAACAAAGGAGAAGGCCGATAAAATCAAAGCAAATAATGTATAGTCCTGGAAGGGAAGAATCATTTCAGAATCACTTTATATTCAGGGGGTTATTGATTTTAGGGCTTTTATCAGGCCTGAGTGTTTCTCCACCCGAACATTGTTATGCGATGATTAGAAATAAAAAGCCCACTGGAACTGCTATCACTTTGAGTATTAACGTTTCAGCTACAAAAATGTATTTCTAAGAATTGATTTCACATTGGGACAGATTATACGTNCTTTATTTCAAATTTTCATGGGAAACCCCTCCTTCCCATAAAAAGAAGATGGGGAAAAGAAGAAAGAGAGGAAAAGAGGAGAACTTTCTGCTGGATCATCATCTGTCTATGAGAAGTGATAGTGCAAAAATTCCCAATACACACAAAGGGTGCCCCAAAATCGCCCACACATAGATAATACGGAATTTCTCGGACACGGATCGCTGGAATAATATAAAATGAGGGTCAAAACTTGCCAACTTAGCGCTGAACAACTGACCATAAGCTTTCATCCACGTGCCCTCTTTTATTCTTGTTGAGCTTTCGTAGACACTCAGATAGAAAGTCAGTCACGAGAGACAAATGGTTCACGTTCAGTTCGTCCTGTTATCGACGAAGGATGCATTGAACGTATTGAGACTTTAATGTCGTACAGCACAGGCCTTTTGCTCTAAGTGCACTCCGACTTGATCAAATTCGGCCAAGGAGAGAATCATTCTCAAACCAGCATAAAGCTGAGCAGCTTCCCCGGGACATCAATCTTGGACGTTTCTCACTCTGTGAGCGAGCAAAAAAAAAGCGAGAGAAGTTTTTTCAAAGCGCTCACACCAGTCCGGCCGAGCCAAGGAGTAAGCGGAATGGAAAGCTTGCAAGACAACCCGTCCTTATATTAAGTTTTTCAGAAGTGCAAAATCCGGGTTGTTTTTGCATTGAGGAGAGCTTTGACAAAGGAAAGACCTTAAACGAAGGAGACCTCTTTTCATTGCTTTCCTTTCCATGCCGGTGTGGGTAAATAATGGCAACACGACGGAGGGTGGGTTTGTCAGTTTGGTAGGGTCGAGATGAGAGTCGAAAATTACATTATCAGAAAATTGCTCTTTTCTATGCTGTAAAAAATAGTAACCTAAAAAGGGTAAATACAGTGAATGAGCAATTCTGGCGCATTCTGTACTGTGACAAGGCAGTCCATCGGTACATCACGAATTTTCATGTGTATTTGAATTTTCAACAAGGCCGCTCCATTACCAATGGTGCAGCATCTGTAAGGCCTTGAAAACTCGTCCACTTTTGGGTGGGGCGTAAAGTCGGCACAATATGCGCGCAGTATATAGTGGCCACCTTTGTGCATGATAAATATGAATAAATTATATTTTACTCCTTACAACGCCCTATTTGGGCAGTTTTTTGACCCGACAGCAGTCCATGTGCAGCCCAGTGCTTGCAGAGTCATCCTAGTGTGAAGTCTGAATTTATCGGGAAAAGAAAAGATGGAAGATGCTTCCCTTAGCTAATCAACTCGAATTTTTTTCCGAGTGAACTCTAATGCGTTGACGTTGAGCCGCACCCTTTAACCCCTTTGGAATGTACGCCCCTTGATGTTGACTCGGCAGGAACAGTCGCATTACTCAACCTCCTTATCAGTTTCGTCACCTTTATGGATATTGATTGAGAAGGGTTGTATCACTTATTCAGGCATGAAAATAAACATTCATCGACGAATTCTGCCATATAGGAATAAAAAAGTCGATCGCTCTTCACTCAATGATGCTCTTTCTCGAGCAAATATTGAAGGACCTCCAGTTCTGTAAACCTAGGGATATATTCTCGGGAAGTTTCTTGTAAATAACTCGGGAGACACCACAAAAATCGATAATTGGTTTGGCATTCGAATCGGAAACAGGTGAAAACACCTAATAGCTCATGAAGATAATTTCCCGAAAGAGGCAACATGTAAGTTCCTTAAAAAATGAATCGCCTCCGGAATTTTTTCCCCTAGCTTGATGCAATTATTTATTTGCGCATCTATCAGGAGGGAGATAAATAAATGAATAAATAATTTGGGTGGAAAGCCAATGAAGTGATGAAAAGAGGTAAAATAGAATAATAGAAAAAAATAGTAATTTAATAGTAGTACAGAGCCAAGTCACATTAAGCAAACACTTATCGAACCATCAGGAAGTCTAAGGGTTGAGCTATGCATCCCATTTTCGACAAAATTCGTAGTTGCAGTCAGACGAGGTGGAGATTCCTGTCGTTTCAAAATAACCGACAGCTCTTTATCCACCAAATTCAATTACTCTACCTTCCAAGGCAATTCGCAATCGCGAATTCGTGATTCGTGCTCAGTTTGTTCCCATTAGACCCATTCTTGAGGAAGTCAATTTTCAAAATCAAATGACCACTGCAAGAAGTGGTACATGACTGCAGGTTGCTCCTCCGAGAGCATGAACGAATAAAGAATAAAAAGGGCTGAAAATTCGATAAAACCTACTCGTCGGAAAAACTCTTAAGGGAAAGGGAGTATATCCGAAGTGGAGGCCATGGCATTGGCTGTTTTCCTCCTCAGTTTTAAAATTACCTACGAAAATTCAAGGTGAGGGCGGTGGGCCCACAAAACGATCAGTACCTGGAATCGATCGATCGACACGAAAAGACATAACGACCAAGAATTTTCGACGAAATTTTACTTTCCCGTCTTTGAGTGGTATCGGATTGCAATAGGATTGAAGAGGAGGCCATTTAATGAGGGTGAATTCCACTGACAGCTTCTAAGGCTCGTTTGACACTGAACACTAAATTCTGACACAGTTTTCAGTGGGAACAAATTTAACGGATTTATTTCAGTCGAGGTTCCCAGCGGATCACCCTCCTCGACAGCAGGACACTCAAATTCGCTTTTCTATGAAGTTGGAAACTTCACTTACTTTGTTTTAGGAGGTTTCCACGCTTGTTATCCTATTTTTCGAAGCCATTGACAAGAGGGATGAACTTCCCCTTCCATGCCTTCTTCTCCTTTTCTCTTTCTAAGAGGGAAGCACAGAAAGCATTTTTCGTTTGGTCCTCATTTCAATGGGGCTCTTCCAGGACGTATGAGGAATGCCCTTCCTTATCAGGCATCCGTTCCACTTTGGTTTTATGGATCTTCTTTAGAAGTGAGAAGACAGAGAAAAATGAAGTCGTTCAAGGAACTCGCACATCATACCGGAATGATAACAAGTAGAATGACCAAGAATGGCGAGTAAAAATGGTCTGATTACTTTATTTGTGGAAATCTCTGAGTCATCTTAGGGATTGCAACATAAATACCGTTCCCCTCTAGAAACCTTCCTGAAATTCTCAGTAAGCAAGGAGAAGTCTCTTATGAATTATTAGAATAAATTGCTAGAATAGAGACCATCAAATACGAAGGGGTAAGAGCATCACGTGAGATGAGACCACCTACCATTTCCTCCATTGATACCAGAGCATAGGGCCTCGTGTCAGGGGCAGAAACTGCGTCAGGGCGCCTCGGGTAGGGCTGGTGTCTGTTACTTTTCGTGAATGATAAGCGTGCTTTGCGTGCGGCTCTGTCCACACCCGTTGGCGGCATTGATAGCCGTCCTAATGTCGTTTTCGCTGTACTGCAACCAATACCGACAAGTCGCATTGATGAGCCGACCAGTTTGTTTGCTCAAACTTGCCGTCTTCTATTCTGAAAAGAACGAAGACTTGACGAAATGCCGTTTTCATTGGGGTGAGTGATGTAACCCATGCAATGTAAACCACCCTGACCTGGTGTTATAAGGTCTGCCCCGTCTAAGAAACGCAGACGCAGTCATAAGTGAGGTGGAGATTGTGCCAGCTGGAAGCGCTTCATAAAGGAAAAGGAAGAGCTTTGAAAAGAAGACTACCTTTTCTCGACTATGGAGTAGGAGGTGGTCCTGGTCCCACAAGAACAGCTGAGAAGCTTCACATGGAAACTCACGGAAAAGAATAAAGTGAGCGGGGTGAAATACCGGTCAAGTTCATTATGTCGATTCACTACATCCATAGTAATTCGAGATTCCAGAAGCCCTTTCAAAGCGATTGACCTAAGTTCGACAACGAAGTATTAGGTTGATGCGAAAGTCTTGGAACACAAATTCACTTACGTTGGGGTCTCTCTCTACGAAATTTGTCACCCTCGGACCACCACCACATTCTCGAGCGATCTCAGAATTCAATGCAATCGATCACATCCACACTGTTACCAGGCCCATTGAAGTTTTGCAAGAATAGAGGATGCCGTTATGCCTGACGTTCATTCATTCGAAGAAAGCCTTTGACACCGTCGAGACAGAAGCGGTAGTCGGAGGCCCAGGCAACTAGGGTGCCCCAACGATAAGAATGCTTTGTGAGCTCCACGGAAGCTTCACGACCAGGATTTCGCCATCCTGCGAGGAAGCCGTTATTAACCTAAAGTGAAGGGTTCAACAGGGCGATACCATTTCTCCCAAACTTTTCATTGCCAATTTTGAGAACATCATACGTTATACGAAATGAGAAGACTTGGGAGTGAAGGTCGACGGTCGCTACTTACACACCTCTGCTTTGCAGACGACATAGTAATTACAACACCATACAAGGAGCAGGCGGGACGAAAGCTAGAAGAACTTGACAAGGCTTCGTAGGGAATTCGATTTACGACAGCAGCTAACGAAGGCGATGTTCCTGAAAGAAGGACCGGTATCGGTAAGCAGAAGGGAACGTGTAGCGTGGAGAGCATTTAAGGATATCGAGGGAGTGTCAAGAAAACAATGAACATCCGGCTCCGCGCTCACCTTTTTGACACCATAACGTTCCTGCTTTGACGTCTCGAAGAGGAGAGAGATTCTATGAAAGCAGAATGAGCATGCAGTCAGCGTCATTCAACGCGGTGTGGAAAAGACACTGCACGGTATTTCTATACAAACGTGAGTGCAGAGGGGAATCCGGAATTCCGAGCTCTGATAAGATCAGGGTTCCACTGCTTACGCCAATGAATCAAAGATCAAATTGAATAGTCACGTTTTGCGGCATCGCGTTGACCTTGAACTACTTCTTCTACTGACTGTATCCCTCAGAAGGTCAAACGAACACAGCAGAACGGCTTTCAGTGCGTTGGTGTGACTTTTTCACGAAAGCTGCGTACCAAAAGAATGCTACTACTTCCTGCGTCGCTCAAGTGAGAGCGATACGGGACGATAGGTGACGTAGGTGGTAAAGACTTGATTCCATTCGCAACAAAAACCGAACACCACATGGGCTCTCTACGGCTTACATATCATCGAACATTAAATAATAGACGATTTCTCAGCACATGACAGAAGGGATACTGTCATTACTGACAATCGAATTCCGTATTCCGTGACAAGTTATTTGCCCCTTTATCAGAAATAATAGGCTAGTTAAGAAGCTAATAATATAACAGTAATAAGAGGATGCCAAATAAGGTATTCACATCAAAGCAATCGAAACCACTCAAATGCCATTCACAAACGCAACTAGTAACGTATTATTGGACTGATGGTCGTGCTAACAGAAATGTCGGACAGGAGATTCCTGGCCTACTTTGGCAAAAATGGTTCTTAGAGCTTATTTCAATTACCTTCTGATGTCGTTCCAGAGTGACGGCGTTTGAATGCCAGTCGCTGGAAGAGCGCTACCGGTCCATAGATGTCCGTTACGAAGAAGTCAAAATCATTTTTCTTCTTCCTCAACTCCCGATTTAGCCCTATAGATCTATAGAATAAGTGATTCTAATACTCCGTAATCTAATTGCTTATATCGATTTCGAAAATTTTCCTTGATTCATTTAAAAATAACTATTTGATTCATACAAAAAGCGACACACGTGAAAGATGTTTACTTGGAATCACTACTGTTTATTTTAAAATTTCCAGCATGTTCACAGTACTACGTACTACAAGGAAGTATCACACTTTATCACATATGCAGAGCCGAATACTACATAAGTTGGGATCACCGTTATTTACAGTTTCACAATATTTACTGGACAACGATTTGATTACAGACGCCTCCGAGTTGCCTGAAAATTGTTGCTTATTATTGTCTTGAGGAGCTATTTTCATTTGTTTTGGAGTTGTACCTCAAATAAACAAAAAACTGCCACCGTCTTTTTTTGGAAGAGGTGATTAAACTCACGATGCGCCAGCCTGAGCAAGACAACGGCATAGACCTTGAACTGTCGGAGTGTCTATTCCGTTCTGGATTGCGCACTGCATCATATTGTTTACAATAACTTCGTCTGAAGGTTCTATCAAGCCACAGCTGAAATGTAAAAACTACTCTTAAGCAATTGCTCAACAGTCCACAGTGTCTGGGAAGCGCTGTACTTTTTAGACGGATGCCCAGATGAGCCTAAGATGGAATTCAGACTGTAGCACCTGAACTTTCGAGGTATCGCGCCTGTCCATCTAGTTATATGGTAATCAGCAAGAAGCTTCTCACTAGGATCTTGAACTCATATTACTGTGGCTTATGAGTATAGGTTATATTTACTTAGGCAACTCTATCCATAAGAATAGGTTGATCAGAACATCGTTTACCAGATACACACCAAACCAATAAAGCCCAATCATACCAGGGAACGTACGACACATAAAGTTAGAACTCTTGTAAAGTGTTTGGTGAGCTAAGAAGTAGTAAGTAGTACATTCTTTGGCAACTTAGACTCTTTTAGACCTTTTGCCAACCATTCCGGATAGTTTGCGGCAAAACGGCCCTGTCGGAGAGCTTCCCAACATTTTTTCTGGGGATATAAAAATGACATTTAGTTACAAACTCTGAATTTAATAAATGTTTGGGTAACCACATTAATAAACAAGCCCTTGAAGCACTCAGCATTCGTATGAAAACAACAACATCGCAACTCCGGTCGCTTACCTCACACATCGTTTACCCTGCTAGGGTAAGTGCTCGTAGTAAAGAGTAATGGTAAGGAAACACCACAATCAGCAGCTCATCTAACCGGCTAAAATGAGACAGGCAAGAATAGAAGGGGTATTACGTGGAGGAGCCGTGGGCTCGACTCAAGGGCTGATTCATCCAGGCATTCGCTGTCATGTAAGGGATGACGTCTTTAATGGAATCAATGAAAAGCTTGGCATGCGCCCTGCATTCGACTTCCATTCCGGGTGAGGCCATACAGAAAACTACACTTTCGTCACTCTGAAACTTCACTACAATTGGGACCGAAGGAATTCACTCACTTGTTCTGCTCTTTGCAACTGAACGGAGAAATCTTGCTAATGCATCTAATTTCGCAGTTGGTGAACCCTCGAGATGACCCAACAAAGTCCATCACTTGGTTGGCAATACCTAAAATCGAGTGCTATCTTTTCTGAATACGTGCAAGGTACGTACCCTTTAGCCAGACTCAACAATGTGTGGGTGTCCTGAAAGGGGACTGGACTCACAATCAGTCGTGTTTCTAAAGCATACAGAATAATATGTACACACATTTTGGCTTTATGCATATGTGTGTAGCTTATGGACGAGTTGCCCATAGCTGCGCACTCTTGTAGGAGATCCTTCAGGCCTTTTTAAACAGTGTAGTGGACCATTGTCTCCTGCTAGGCATTGGGGGAAGGGAAAGAGGAGGGAAAGGGAGGGGGGGGGGGGGGGAAGGGGGAGCCCATCACATTCAGCCAAACACTTGAAAGATGTTTCGGGGCATATTGGTCTGAAATAAAGCAATTTTGACCTTTTTTGCAATTTTCAGCAGGTTTATTGAAAGTTGTCTCTGGACCTTGATGATCGATGCAGGTGCCCCGCTCATTCAGGGTGCAATCCGTTGACGGATACTCGATCAGGCTGAAAGATGATGGAACGTTGACAACTTCCATCACCTTTCAGCCTGATCAAGCTTCTCCCAACTTTACCCTCTGTTTGATCCGATTCCTGATTTATCCGATTCATGGCACGACCCATGTGACCCATGTACTCCTCACCATCAGTTTTAGATTAGGCTCCTCCTGCTCACTTTTTAGGAACTTTCTTTTACATAAGGAAATTAGAAGATTACCAGATTGTTGCAGCATATTGTCCAGACGACCGTATAGTGTCAGCTTGAGGATCTCCAGATCCCTCTTCTGCACCATTTGCGGCTGTCCTGTTGCACATCTGAAACAAATATTTGGTAGCAAGCAGTGTCCATTAGAAGGAAGGTGAACCCGGACACTTACGATCCGTCATAGAATCTCTTGAAGCATTCAATAGCACGATCCATCTGATCATGAATTTGCATAAAGCACTGTCTTGCAGCGGCATAGTCAAAGTTCATGGCTCCTGTATGGCTCTGAAAACCTTACGCTGCTGAACCTCGAAGTGCTGAAGAGACTGAGGCCTCTTTACTCTTGTGTATGAATGAGTAAGAATGTGGTCTCATGAAAGTTCATTATGTGACGGAACAAGAAGAGACAAGGTTGACTGCGCCATTCGGACGTAAATGGAGGAATGAATGGATGTCGCCGTCGCGAGTTCGTCCCACTCATACGACTAGGATTGGATAGTTGCAATTTCCAGGCGAGGTCCTCCTCACGATACATTGATAATGGAAGATAGTATGTGTCACAGTGCTGTGATAGTGTCCTCGCAAGTACGCAATCGGGAAGAGCCTTGTGAAGAGCACAAAGCGAAAGTACAAATTGCATAGGAATCAGAAATTCAGAGCGGAAACCTGTTTCCCTTATGAAAATTGAAGAAATCATGTTTTCAAGGTATACTTAAGGAACTTTCGCAATTTTGTCATTTTCAAGAAGTCTCATTGACGGTATGGTACACAACATTGCCAATCAGGGCAATGCAAATAGGCAAACGTGCTCTGCTAAACGCAGCGCGAGTATCAGGTTGAGTAAAAAGTTCTGACCGAAATTTTCATCATCTTCTAGATATTTTCGGAGGTCTACTCGGAAGCATTTCGTAATAGGCTATTGTAGATCGTTCCCGGATGTCCTTGCAAGCGTTTCGCAATTATGAGTTTAGTCGACCGAAACTGACTGGAAGCTATCGTCTAATACGAACTTCTGCAAGGCCATAATTCACCGACAGCCGCCGTGAATATCTGTGGCGCATTTGGAGAAGACATCGTATCCCAACTTACGGTACGTCATTTTTACCAGCGATTTATTTATTTATTTAGCAATACCTTGTATAAGACAACGGTAGAAACGACTCACCAAATACAATACCGGCAACACTAAAGACAACTAATAACAGCAATTCGATAAGAAATGTAAGCATGGTACCGGCTATGCCTTCTTTACGAGTTTTGTATAAGTTTTGCTACTGAGCGTTTGAAGGACGCCCGAGAGCCTGAGAAGCAGTTGGATTTACTGCTTTACTGGAATGCAGGTATGAAAGACCTGCCCTGACATTGAAAAAAGTGCGCCTGATGGCGATTTTAGGTCTGGGAAAAGATAATTTGAGCTGGCCACCCCTAGTGGAATAAGGCTGTAAAACTGAGAAATATCAACCGCGGATCTCTCGCTGAGCAGATAATGAATCATACGTAAGTCAAAGAAAGTTCGTCTGGACTGATGAGAGGGAAGATCATAATACTTGTTCCGTATTTCGGCCTTTGGTTTTCTTGAGTAAAGAGATCCGCCGCGACGAATCAGGATTTTTCTGGTGAAATTATTTTGGACTTTCTCGATTGAAGCAATGTGTTTCTTTTTATGCAGGCAGAATACCACGGTCCCATTCTCAACTAATGGACGGATATAAGTTTTGCAAACCGAGATAAGTGTTTTAGAGTCCTCGGTTGTCAGAGCTTTGAAGATATGATAGGTTCTATGGAACGCTTTTTTGCAGTTTAGGTTACAATGTGACGAGAAGTCAAGCTTATCATTGTATAGGAACCCTAGATCCTTAACTTCATTAACCTTAGAAATCTCCTTAGTATTAATGAAGTAAGCGGGCGAGCCAGGAGGACCCAAGTGCGCATGACAAGATTTGGTAAAGGACAGAGGATCTTGCCAATCTGTGGACGACGATGAAGAAACTTTGCGCACTGCTATGATGGAGAAGCCAAATGCCACTACTCAGGACTAGTCTACGGCACTTGAGTGCAGTCGGAAAACTGTCGTCAACCTTTTCCATGGTCTCGGCTACCACGATATACACTTGAGATGGGTACAATACGATTCAAGCGATCGGACAAAGCATCACGGTTCAGTGTGTGCACTTCTTCGCTTCTTCGTCCACACAAGAGAAACCTTCTCAAGGAGATCGTTAACTAATACGAATGCTGGGTCTTTTATGCGAACCATAAGCGACATCGCCAATGGATGCCCAGTGAAGAACCGCCTCCTAGACAGCCGAGAAGTGAACAACATCAGAAGAAGTTTCGCTTTGTTGTTGGTGGGATTCCCAAAATAAGCTCTATTTCTAATTACTTGCTGAGGGCGCTACCGTGACTTCCGAGAATTACGCTTCTAAGCTACAGTAAGTTATTCGGCCGACGTTATTCGAAGGAAGCGTCCCGGTAAACAATGTTTGTTCTCTTCACGGCGTCGTGTGAATTCACGTTGTGAAACTGTCTCGTCAGAAATTTGCCGAACTTAGATGGGAAGTGTTGCCCAACCTCCTTATTCGCCAGATCTTGCTCTGTCTGATCACCATTTGTTTCTTGTTTCAAACCATCATCTTCACGATAGAAAATGTGATGATCGCTCGGAACTCGAAACTGAGATTTCCAGCTTTTTCGATCACGGTCACCACAGCATCACCACTGGACGTATGTTGTGGACCACGATGGAGACTATATTACTGATTGAGATCCTCTTTTGATGAATATATGACTTTTTGAAGTGAAGATGAAGAACCGATCAAAACGTTTTACTCAACCTAATATATTGCAACCGTTGCGATATCACCATGGGTTGTGTGGCATTCCGGCAATGCGTCCGAGCCAAGACACACAACTAAATCATTCTGTTGGCCAAGTTCTCGCACACAATTTTCAGTTCTGTTGCGACATATGCAAGGAATCAGCCCACACGTCGTAAAGGACTACTTATTGCTTTTTTAGGTCACAGGTAATCAAAGTACAATCACTTCTTGGCTGAGCTATTTTTCATGTTTCCTCAGTCTAAATTCTGTTCTTACAACCGGTCTTGCAGCGACAGTTGCGAAATGTCTTCATGAAACACCGGCATTCCTTTTGGTTACACTACTCACCAGGCACTTACCGTGATGCGTCAAAATAATAATTACGCCAAATACATCATTACATTTTTATGGCTGGCGCTGCAACTGCCACTACAACCGTGGATGGAACCGCTTGCTGGCACTGCAACTTCCACTACAACCGTGAATGGAACCGTTTGCAGAAAAATATCGTCAACAACCACAAAAACGCCCCATTTTGTGCCAATTTTATCTGGTCGCCACCTTACAGACGCAGCCCACCGCTACCTCCACTCGTCGGAGTGGAACGACAACCGGAACCTCTGTCCCCGTTAATTTAAGACGTGAATGGTCAGAATGTTCCTGACCCTTTTCTGTTTAGAGCTCGACCTGGGAAAAATCGTTGAAAATATGGGTGCGGAGGAAGTGTGCCCTACATATGGTCCGGGGAACGAGTTAGGGTTTGCTACCTCTAGACCAATCGAGCACCAATACCATCACTTGCTCAGTGTCAGGCCTATCCACCAGGACAAAGTGTTTGAATTGCTCATCGAGCAGTCAGCACAAGTTGTTTTCGAACCAAGTACAAATTGGACGAGAAAAAACTTGAACATTGTTCTAAAACTTAATTTTGGGTGCACCCAAGGCAAATATCTTTGCCTTTCTGTCATCAATTCCTGGATCATAACTGGTTAGCCTATTACGACGCAGTCCGTCACTAACATATAGATCAAGTCTGTCAGGCATCCCTTGCTTCGATTTGTCCGTTGAAACAATAGATAAATACCTGGCATTCATCGCCACAATTGAAGAACGTGTCCGCATTGACTTGAAGGCATGGCGCCAACTGTTCACACGTGCATTGGGGAACCTCCTGGGCACTGCAGATGACAAGGATGAAAGCCGAAATGAGAAGCACCGACAGCATTCCCTGAAAGTAAGGTCATGTAATTCCATGATGTTCCGACACAGAGAAGGAAGTGATTCGGAAAGCAGAGTTTGCGCAATCCAGAGACAGAACACTAAAACAACGAAGGTAATACGGGAATGAATGGCAAGCAACCTTCTCATTTGGTTAAGCTGATTACGAACTTTGACTGAGGGGACATAGTCCTTTTTGTAGGTGGGGTACTCTCTGGAAAATCTGTCTTCTGAAACAGCGTCTTAGATAATAAATATCTCAGCCGCACACCAGACAATAGAGAATGGATCTGAGACTATCCAGGGAAGACATAGAAGCATTACACTTCACCCTCTTACGGAATGGCGAGCACCCTCAAACCACCTGAAGACTCTGGCAGAGAACGGAATATCAACCGCACTGCAGGACAGATGGGACTGGAACTGAGATGTCAGTCGCTTAGCCTGTTCACAGACAAAAACGAAGAACTGAAAATGACAACAAAATAATGACCTTGCACTATGGACCAAAGTACAGTATAGGAGCGTTAATGCAACTAATTCCAATGGTTTGCTAACTTTCATTCTTGCATGGTCTTTAGCAGGAAAAAATCGTATAGGAGAAGAGACGAAACGCTCTCTTCTGAAACCTTTCTCAAAAACCGTCAGTTCGTCTTCCTTCGCCACGAAAATTTAGCAGATGTTGCAAAGCGGTGTTTGTTACCGTGACCGCCTTGGAATTCTCGAAAAGAAGGAAACCACAAGGATAGAAGGGCGATCCAAAAGCTTTTGGGCGAAAAAATGATCCAGTCGGAAGTCTTTTTGACAACAGTATAAGTTTGTGCTCCCGGGCGATAGTAATGGCTATTATCGTTGCACAGCTTGAGGAGCTGAAGCTGGAGCTATGCTCCTTCGCAGTCAAAAATATCATTCTGGTTGTCAAGTTGGTATATCGCACTCTTTCAGAATTTTGGAACTACCATTTCCTTATCTGGCGATCATCTTTGTATCTTCTTTTTTGAAGATGGTCTACACTAAGATGGATGGCAAGGATATCTTCCATGAAACTGCAGGTATATATGTATATTCAAAACTGATCGCTGTTTGGCCTTTAACCACATTAAATAAATAGCCGGCCAACGAAAGTTCGTCGAGAATAGTTGCCCCCATTGTGAGATGAAATTTCGATAACACCATAAAGTATGGAGAGAAGTGAAGTCAAATGGTTGACAATTCAAATGTGCAAATGTACTCAAACCTGGACAATCTACCGGGAAAATAAAAGTTGATGACGTTCTGGGATAATTTAGTTACCAATAGTTGGGGGAAAAAGGTTTACTGACTGTCTGACGTGGGAAAAANAAAAACCCGTTCCAATCGAGGAGAATTCACTTTTTCTGGTGTCTTTGACAACTGCGAATTAGAGAGAGCTCATAAAATGTTCTGGCGCCCTTCAGAAAGTCACCATGCCTTCTCTAATTACATTTATAATTCTTTTTCATTATAGAAAAAAGCAGTTGTCTCTGAAACTAGAAATTTGCAAATTGGAGGCCTTATCTCTGTCCAGACAAAGCACAAAAGGTCATCATCAGGCGGAATCGATGATTTATGGCGGAGTCTGAGCCAATTAGCAATTTCGGAAAAAGTGGAAAGACAGCCTTGGAATATCAGAGAACAAAATAATGGATTGACGAATCAGACACGAATGGCTATCTATATTGTCAGGTTTTTCGCTGATAAAATGATCGGAAATCGAACGCTGCGAAACATTCTGTCTCACCTACTATAAATTCTCCTCTCCTGTCCCATGGTAAGTCACCAAAAAACTGGACTTCTCCAAGTCACACTGTTTCGTTTATGTAGTTTGGTCGATGGCATGGCATTCGAAGTTTCTAAAATCATCTTTTGAGCGGCTATTTATTCGAGCAACTATCAACTCATTTAAGGCATCCACATTGTTACTACGAAGTTCCTTCTCCAGTGAATGGAAATCACACGCACGGTCAGGGAATCCAATCCCAGACTGATATTGCATGGACCAAACAAGCCTTCCATCTTTCGAGGTCAACTGAAGGCCAGTTCACGGTGAAATGGTTTCTGAGATATTACCTAAAAGAGGCCAAAAAGACCGAAAAGAAAGAAGAAAAAGAAAAGAGCACAAGAGACGGTGACAGGTCGAAAAGCGGGTTGGATAGGGTGTAACCAGGGGCCCAAAAACTGGCTAAATCGAAGTGCATCTTCANAGAGGAGGAGTTCTCACAGCGTTATAGAGCCTGAAGAGCTGAATACGCAGATTCGCGTTTTCTTCGCCAGTTTTGCATTATTTTAGTCTAGCACCTCCATTGATCGTTTCAAACTAGTCACCTCAAAATTACCGCAGGATGACGCTTCTAATTGGTAGTCTGGAAGGATAGAATCACATACCTGCATAAATTGATCATCACAATTCATGTATAGGCCACAAAACGTCCCTAGGTTCCTAAAAGAAACGTCAGGCGCATCCTGCAAATAACATTGATCGAAACAAAATACTTCGTCTTTCCTTCTGATGTTGCTACTCAGAATATTATTTTCGAAAAAGAACAATAATTTGTAATGTTCACTGTACCTACAAATTGCAAAAAAAAAACGAAAAAAAAGTGTCAAGATGCTCTGAGAGAAGAAAAAGGGGAGCATCGACCTGGTCTTATTCGATCTTGAAAACGCTAACGACAATTTATTAGGTTGAAAGTTAAGTCTTGCAACACTTTGGACAAGTTTTTGTATTTTATATTTCCTACTAAACGAAAGCTTCAATCTGCAATATAATCGCCATTATTATCTAGGACATATGCCCATCTTCGGGACCGCTTCTCGATTCCTCTCTTTCAGAATTTCGGTGGCTGCGACGAAAAAAAGTGTTCGATTTAATTTTTGAGTTGACAACGATCATCAAATTTGTTGTCCCTTAGATGGTGCTTCAATGCTCTGAAAACGTGATGACCAGAAGGGGCTAGGTCCTATAAGCGGCAACACTTTCCATCCGAGTTCTATAGTTTTTTGACGCGTTTCATTGGCCACATGCGGGCGTGCGTGCGTTGAGTAGGATGACATTTCCGGGCGTAACTCTCGTATGACGCCGGCCACTTTTTGTTAGCGTAGACTGTGGCCGTCAGTGCAGTGCCACTGTCTGGCAGCTCCCAGTAGATCATTCCATCCTCGTCCCACCGACAACACAAAAAAGCCTTCTCATGGAGGTCTGCTTAAGGCCCTGTAGATGGCTCTTGTCCTCGGGCAGCCCAGTGGCGCTCACGTGTAGGGTTCAAGTAAAGCACCCAGCGCTCATCTCCCGTCACTATGTCTCGTAAGTCCTTCTGATGGGGATTGAGCAGAAGAGACTCAGGCTCGTGCATCCTGTTTTTCTTGTCAGACAGGCGTTGTTCATGAGAAACCTTGTCACAAGCCCTTCAAGTTTATTTTGAAATCCTTTAAGAACACGTTACGGCAACCAGGCGCGAGAACATGTGAAAAACGCTTTGATTTTTCCCTCGAGGAATATCGTCAGTGTTTCAGGACTTATCCTCTAAACTAATATTTCTCTCAATGTTCTGGGAGCTCTCAAAGAATGGTATGTTTTAGAGCACATAATGCATCCTGGAAAGGATGAGTAAATGGCGCCAAGAAGTGTACATATAAGTGCTCCGTACCTGGAAACGACCGCCAGTTGTGATAAACACCAAGGCCTATCCTACCTCTATTGATTCTGGATAGCGGACAAACTCACGACCTAACTGAGAGCATATCAGGCCGATGGCTTATAGTAGAAAAAAACTTGATGTTAAGGCTCACAGATGCAGATCGCACTCGCAAAGAATGACTTATGGCTGAACTTGAACAAAAAGGAGTTTTAAACACACAACAGAAATGAGAGTCAAGCAAAACTACCACGGAGATAGAAAGGAAACATTCCGAAATTTCGAAAGGTGTTACCACTGATGTTAGATTGGATCACGGCATTAAGGCTTGGATGACACTGCACATATTAAGTAGTAGGATTTCAAAGATATACTCAACAATTTAAAGCTGGCTCTTAGGCAAATCACCTACTCTCTGATGAGATGAGAGAGACACGAATGGATGCATTTGAGTAGGAACTGCCTCCTCAAGCACTTACTTGAGGAACACCTGAACAGGTAGTCCCTTATCAACTACATCCGCACTACCTAAGTTATCTTGTATAAGAAATTATTCAGCAAGTTTAGGTGAAAAGGAAGTTGAGGAGGGGGTAGGGGGCATACGCTGCACTGCAAAGAAGTGGTGTAGCCGACTTCGCGCACAAAATACCAATGGTGCTCAGGAACGTTTTTAGCGGAGGAAATATAGGGTACAGTGAAACTCACCATTCTTACCCCATCCAAGATTTTTGCACAAGGTAATCGTCTCACCCATCCCCGTTGCTTCTCTCCTCCTATGGCTCAGCTTGAAACGTCGTTTCTCTAGCTAGAAACCGTCTCAGAGCGTGAGTAATATCGGCTTCTTATTCTCCGCACTTTAGTCTCAGTGTTGGATAAGAGCGCTGCTTGGATGATTCAGAGCCAAACGAGTAAGATATAGAGTCGCACTGGTCAAGTGACTAAGAAGTCCGTAAATAGAGCCTGTAATCCAAGTGGGAATGAATTTCAGCAATTCTTCAGTTGGCAGAATTGTTTATGGAACGGATGAATGGAAGTTTCTTACCCAGGAGGAAACACCTCTGACGTCTTACCCTGGCGAAGTTCAGTTGCAAAGCGTAGTGGTAAGGCGAACTATCTTTTGAAGCGCTCTGGTTCGGAGCAGGCTATACGATCGCCTGTCCAGCTGGAAGGGAAGGTGATTGTAACATGTCTTGAGTGGTCTACAAAATTGCTTGCTGTGATTGTGGTGGTGAGTATATTGGAGAAACGGCAAGGTCACTCCATGTGAGGGTCAAGGAGCACATAAATGGAGTGAGACGATTGAAAGAGTCTACTGCCTTAAGGATTCACCGAATTCAGAAGCATAACTGAGGCG